AAATAAATAAATAAATAAATAAATAAATAAATAAATACACACACACACACACACACACATATATATATATATATATATATATATGAAAATTAAGTAAGTGATGTCATCTTTGTCATTTGTCTGGTGGTCAGCAAAAACAACAGCAAAATCCCTGTATTAATATTGTACACAATGTAAATGAGTGTCCCTTGACATGGCAGGTACAAGGCTACCCTGCTCTAGTTATCAAATCTCCAGTGCAGAAGCTGCAGTAATAATCTAGTGCAGTGTTTTTCAGACTTGGCAACTTTAAGATGCGTGGACTTCAACACCCAGAATTCCACAGGCAGCATGCTGGTTTGGGAATTCTGGGAGTTAAAGTCCACACATCTTAAAGTTGCCAAGTTTGAAAAAATACTGATCTAGTGACTTTGCTACAAGAGTCCAGGGAGCTATGGCACTAAACCTAAACCTGAAAGGGTGGGGTGGATACAGGAAGACTAGCTGTAAAAATGCGCATGCAAAGACCATAAAGTTGACAGATTCATGAAGAAGATGCTCAGTCTTGGAATTGGTAGGGAGAATCTTATTACAGTTGTTGCATTTGCCCTGGTTTCAGAAGGAAATGCAATGGTTAAATGGGATAGAGATGGGCAGCATTATGTGAAATTCCTCCTATGGACATGCTGAGGTCACCAACAGGAATAGATAGCCTATCCTCCCACTAGCCCTACAGCTAAAAAGTAACTAAATACACAGATTCAGAACAAAATATTTTTAAAAGTGTATTTTTTTTAAAAAAAAGCTGCTCCACCATCTCTTATCTGGTGATTTAACAGTGAGATAATTACAGTTCTGTGTTAAATTATTACAGTAAACTTGGCAACCAAAGTCATGCCCTTAGCACCTTTTCCCTGAATGATATGCATTAAGTCTGCACTCTTCCTCCAATACTTCAGCATTATTTGAAACAGTTTTGGACTTCTGTTGGAAAGGCACAAGAATTTAATAGCAGATTTGGGAACTTGGCATGCAGGACAAAGGGAAGGTGAAAGAGCATGTGTATGAAGGAAAAACTACACAAAACAATGTTTTGGAAATTATCCCAGACTTCATTTGCCATTGCAAGATTTTCGTGTAAATGAAAGGAAGGGGGAGGGGTGGGGGTCAGCAAAAGCTTGGCTATAAAGCTTTGCTTCACGTATTACCAGGGAAAATGTTATTCCTTACAACTGAAAGATTCTATTGATCCCTTCTTTGGTGTTCAGTGTTCACTGAGATCAGAACTCATAAACTAGGAAGTTATTTTTTTTCCTGGCACACCCGTTTCTTTGTAGTAAAAATAGGTAATATTCATTAAGCTTCTATCATGGGGCGAGCATACTGACAGTTCAAGACACCAGAGTCTTGAATGTTCAAATGAGCGTTAGAGAAACAGGAGTTCTTTAATTCCCTTTAATGGTGAGAAGGTTTCTCAAGAGCAAGAAGGGTGAGTGTCTTGTGCTTCCCTTTACATCAGGATGGGTCCTATGCCTGCTCTTTTGGAGCTACACTCATGAATCAGAATACTAGATCCAGCTGATCATTTTAACAGCGGATGGTAGGAAAAATGTATTTTCTTCATAGGTCACCAGCTGAGCTCTGCAGAGCAGGACTTCCCAACCAGCACACGGAGACTCTCTGCTGTGCTTTAGCACAGCTTGTCAAGCAGGCCTCGGAATGGAGCCAATTATAACTGTTCACTGAACCATCTCTTTCATCACAATTTCCCAGCTGGTGATCAGCCCTAGATGGGTGTTCAGTGGCCAGTCTGCCAAGCTAGACACTTTCTGACCTTTGGACCGCTATGGAGAAAATGTTTGTGTCTTTCTGCTCTCTTTTTAAGCTAGCCATTGGGAAGAATAGCAAATTAGCACAGATGTGCAGTGGAAGTGGGTAGAAGGAATCCCTGAAGTAAATTGGTTGAACAATTTGAGGAATCCTGTTGAATACTTTGAGTAATTATTTTAATTACGTATATCATCTAATAGGAGGTACAGGACACACTGCGTTCTTACAGCAAACCTGAAATTCAATACAATTCTTAGGTTTCTATCTATGTATATCCAAGAGTTGACTAAACCAAACTATAATAGTAAAAACTATAGTAATAAAAAGGATTAGGATAAACTGTAGTAGAATATTATTGTATCTCATGAAGAAAAGGTTTTTTTCTTTTTGGTGTCCTTGACTTTTGGTGACCTGGGATTACATAGACTCATTCATGTAGTTTTCTTAGCAACAATGTGGAAGTAGTTTGCTACTGCCTTCTGGAATGTTTCTTAATTTCTCAGTCTAACTTACAGTTCCTATATCTCCTGGTAGCTTCCTATCTAACTTTCTTAGCTTTGGGGGATCTGCAAATTTAATGTCCTGCTCTGTCATTAAACAATTTAGCTGATATCAAATATGTTTTACAGAGTATATATTTGGATAACTGTTTCCAGAAGGTGGTGCTGAAGGATTATTATTCTGCTTCATGGCAATTGCATTGTGAAGTCCCTCAGGGCTCCATTTTATTCCCTATGCTTTTTAACATCTACATGAAACAGCTGGGAGAGGTCATCCTGGGATGTGGGCTGAGATGCCATTGATATGCGAAAGACACCCAGGTATACCACTCCTTTTCATCTAACGCAGGTGAAGTGGTTGGCTTCTGAACCAATGCTGGGGCAAGGGTCAAAGACTGGATGAGAGCCAATAAAGTGAGATTTAATACAGACAAAACAGAAATAGTGTTTGTGGGTGGCTGCCCTACAGGGGTCTGCACTTGCCCTAAAGAAGCAGCTTGAAGGTGCTCCTAGATCCATCACTGTCACTAGAGGTCCAGACGGCTTCGGTGGCATGGAGTGCTTTTCACCACCATTACTTCAGCTTCTTTACCAACTGCAACCTTATCTGGACAGAGACAGCTTCATAACAGTAATTCACACTCTGATAATTCTCTGGCTAGATTATTGGAATGCATTATACGTGGAGCTGAAGTGGTCCAGAAACTCCAGTTAGTTCAAAATAGAGTAGCTAGACTGTTCATTAGGACTGGCCAATATTAATATATTAAGCCAGTATTTCACCCACCTACACTGCTGCCAGTCCATTTCCAGATCCAATTCAAAGTAATGTTTTTGACATTTAAAGCCCTAAATTACTTATGACCAGGTTACCTGAAAAAGCACTTTCTCCCATGTGTATCTACCTGGACCTTAAGTTCTTCTAATGAGGCATTCCTCCAGGTGCTTCCACCAAAGGAGGTGGGTTGGGTATCGTAACGGGGGGGGGGGGGAGCTTTTTTGTGGTGCTACCCCATTTATGGAATTCCCTACCCAGAGAAGCTTGACTGGTGTCCAGATTAGAATAATTTCAGCACCAGATTTTCCCAATTTTTAAATGTCTTTTAAGCATATTTTAATTTGCATTTTAGATTTTGAATGATCACCTTGCTATTGCGTAGTTTGTATAGTGTTTTCATTTTACTTTTTGTTTGATTTTATTGCATATGTTTTTATTCAAACTGTATCTCTGAGTGTGTTTTATTGTAAACTGCCCAGAGTTTCCACTATTACAAGGTTTAAATAAATGTTAATAAATAAATAACTCATAAACTCTATCTGCATATCTTGCCTTATCTAAAGAATATGCCACTTGAATTTTATGAGCATTCAAGTAGGTGGAGGAAATATACCAGGTATCCATCTGCCATCTATGTTAATATTACAAAGGACTGGCATGAAATCAGTTTTGAGGCATGAAATGCAATAGCATGCTTCTGGCAAAGTAGGCCATTTGTCTAATTTAACTTTTACTAAGATCTTTTAATACCAGACTGATTACAAACATATTGTTCGCTATTTGGATGTTTATCA